ATCGTTCCTCAGAATTTTCAGGTTACTCACACATCAAATTGATGTTAAAGCAGATCTCTATTCAATGAATATGCACACTTATTGAGCATGGTGGGAGAGTGTTGACACAGGATCAGACAAATAGCTGTCTCTTACATTCTGCAATAACCAAGCCCATGGCCCACAAAGCTTTCATTGATCTATGACAGTTGTAAGTCTATGTTAGACTACAGTTACCACCACCATGGTCTTACAAAAGGCTGAGAATCTAGTCTCTTGATACTTATGTGATTTCTATAGTGTAACTGAGACCCAAAAGGGGGAGCCATATTATGTAACAAAACAATCACCATTTAAATATAATACAAAATAAACATGTAAATATCGGAATAAGTACACACCTGTATATATACACAAAGAACTTAGCTAAGCAACCCCTGACATATCTCATGATTGAATGAGCCACGATCTTATCCCTTTGGAACATATCTGGGACATGATTGATCGTTGTTGTGTGCAATAAAGGGATCCTCCTGTACAGAACCTGGCCCAATTGGAAGCTGCTTTACACGATCAATGGCATAGACTGACCCTTCAGAGGATCAGGAGGCTGACAGGGGGGTATGAGGAGGAGTGTGCTGGCTGTCATACAGTCACATGGTGGTTACACTCGGTATTGACCTTGAATCGTGTTAGGTACGCAAAATGACATTTTGAATGTTCACATTCACCAATAAATTCAACATTAAACATTCAAGGGCCATATTTGTACAGACATGGTTTTGTATGAAAATCAGTGGGTTTCTTAAAATGAGCAGTTATCACCATAAAATCAACATTGATACCAATCATTTGTTGTTTTTTTATAAAGGACCATACAAGTCAGTAACATGTTTTATGAATGAGTTGAAAACCTATGATTGCAAATATACAGGGATGCTTAATTAAGTTCTTTGTGTGTATGTATATTTCAATGTTCTGTTTTACAGAAACATGAGACACCAAAAATAACTTAAAAAATACAATGTTTCAGTTTTCACTGAGGACTGGAAGTGCCAAAGACAAAGAATGTTTTCAGTCATTAGATCAAAACACGTATCTGTGAAAGCAGGTGCTAAATATTTTCCCTTGCAACACACTTTTAGGTCCAATGAAATATCAGTTCTTTGGGTAAAATGCATTTTGACACATTTTGGGGGCATTATGTTAGTAAACTACCATAGACAAACAATCAAAATCTTGGAATGTTCAGAGATCTGAGATTTTGGGGACATCACAACATCAAACAACTGATCGTGGAGATTGAGAATATTTCTTCTTTTTTTCGACTAAAAAGGAATGCATGAAATCAATACTTTTAGCATTGTAACAAACAGAAATATATGCATAGACTATGATGATAAAATAAGTACGAAAGTCAAAAGGTTCTATAGTAGAAACTTGGCTATATCTGCAATGTAATCTTGCTGAAATATGTTTGATGATAATTTGACTTTCAATTTGATGATAATAATCAGACAGTGAGTTCCAATCTGAACATTCAACCTTCTACAACTAGCTATTACCCTATGGTTTGAACACTGTTGTAGATCTATCATGAAGGCTATATTTGGTTTTGTACTTCCCCTATGAGGTTTTATATTACTAGCTCCTGTTTCTGGTTCATAACCTGAAGCAGAATGCAAAAACATCACATATTTAGTGGTTCCCAAAGTGCTTCTCTGTCAAAAGATTTATCTTACTGACATATACACATTTACATGGTATAAGAATGACAATCTTTAAAAATTTACAGAAAACACCTATTCAGTTGAGCTGAAGTTAAATTTCTCTTTCAGCCTCACATCATGTACAAGAGTTTCATTCCCCTGCTCCAAAATCAATGCGCAGCATGTTTTCTATGTTTGGGTATGAGGGATTTCTTCACCCTCGAAGAAATTTATTTCCCTCCGTGTCAGGATACTGGTAGTCCATGAAGATCAGCATATTTACATGGTAGTGACTTAAAATATTTGTTAAAAGTTTTAGGTTTGGTGTAGTTGTTACTAACACCGCACTCAGCAAATATTCCAGCAATATGGCGGTGGTCTGTAAATGATCGAGTCTGGACCAGACAATCCATACTTCAACAGCATGAGTATCAATCTACAGAATTAGTATACGATGACATGTGTCAACGAAGTAAAAGCGTATGACCACCCAATCCCATTCTCTACCCAACCGGTCTGCTACACCAACCGGTCTGCTACAATCAACAGGTACGCTTATACCCAACCGGTCCAGGTCCTACACCAACAGGTCCGCTACACCCAACAGGTCCGCTACACCCAACAGGTCTGCTACCCACAACAGGTCTGTGTTACCCACAACACATCCTCTACACCCAATAGGTCCTCTATACCCAACAAGTCCGCTACACCCAACAGGTCCGCTACACCCAACAGGTCCTCTACACCCAACAGGTCCGCTACACCCAACAGGTCTGCTACCCACAACAGGTCTGTGTTACCCACAACACATCCTCTACACCCAATAGGTCCTCTACACCCAACAGGTCCTCTACACCCAACAGGTCTGCTACCCACAACAGGTCTGTGTTACCCACAACACATCCTCTACACCCAATAGGTCCTCTATACCCAACAGGTCCGCTACACCCAGCAGGTCCGCTACACCCAACAGGTCCGCTACACCCAACAGGTCCGCTACACCCAACAGGTCCGCTACACCCAGCAGGTCCGCTACACCCAACAGGTCCGCTACACCCATGTACTGTTGTGATATTCATCAATTTCGTGTAAATTTCATTGCCTTGAGTCAATGTTGAACGTTGATGCTGAGTATCAATGTTGTATAGAACTACTACTACTAATAATAATAATAATGTCACTTATAAAGCGCAAATGTCCACACACTTATGAATGCTCAATGCGCTAAAAAGAATTGAGTAAAAGAGTCAGTCATAGGCACTTTGAAACAGGTGAGTTTTAACTTTTGACTTGAAGGTTGAGAGAGATTCACATAGTTTGATTTCTAAAGGTAAAGAGTTCCAAAGAGTTGGTGCAACATAGGAGAAAGCCCTTTTCCCATACGAAACTAGGTGGAATTTGGGAACTTGTAGTAGGTGCTGATTCTGGGACCGGAGTGATCTTGATGGAATGTATTCTGTGATGATTTCGGTGAGATATTCTGGAGCTTGATTGTGGAGACAGCTGAAAGTGATGCAGAGAAGTTTGAAGTTGATTCTCTGTTGAATAAGCAACCAATGTAAGGATTTGAGAACAGGAGAGATGTGATCAGATTTAATGAATGTCAATGTTGTATACCATTGTTTAATGTCAATGTTGTATACCATTGTTTAATGTCAATGTTGTACACCATTGTTAAATGTCAATGTTGTACACCATTGTTTAATGTCAATGTTGTACACCATTGTTTAATGTCAATGTTGTATACCATTGTTTAATGTCAATGTTGTATACCATTGTTTAATGTCAATGTTGTATACCATTGTTTAATGTCAATGTTGTATACCATGGTTGATGTCAATGTTGTACACCATTGTTTAATGTCAATGTTGTATACCATGGTTGATGTCAATGTTGTATACCATTGTTTAATGCCAATGTTGTATACCATTGTTTAATGTCAATGTTGTATACCATTGTTTAATGTCAATGTTGTATACCATTGTTTAATGTCAATGTTGTATACCATTGTTTAATGTCAATGTTTTAATGTCAATGTTGTATACCATTGTTTAATGTCAATGTTGTATACCATTGTTTAATGTCAATGTTGTAAACCATTGTTTAATGTCAATGTTTAATGTCAATGTTGTATACCATTGTTTAATGTCAATGTTGTATACCATTGTTTAATGTCAATGTTGTATACCATTGTTTAATGTCAATGTTGTATACCATTGTTTAATGTCAATGTTGTATACCATTGTTTAATGACAATGTTGACTGCTGATGCTGTATATATATCCATTTTGTACAGCACTGTTGAATGTCAGTGCTGAATGTCAATGTTGTATCTTATGGTGTATACCAATGTTAAAAATCAAGGTTATATGCCAAGGTTGAATGTCAATGCTGTTTTTCATTGTTGAATGTCAATGTTGAGTATCATAGCTAAATGTCAGTGTAAAATGTCAGTTCCATACACCATTTGTAAATCCAAATGTTTAATCTCAATTTTGAATATAAGCGTTTTATGTCAATATTATATGGCAGTGATTGAATGTTGGTGTTAAACTGTTGAATGTCATTGTTCAAAGTCAATGCTGAATGTCAAATGTTCACACACCCACACTACTCTATCTACACATCTACTTGAACAGAATAGGTTCCTCCACCTAGCTTGTCTACAAGATAATAACCCTCTTCCTGAATATAGCATCTCCAGACAATAACATTTTTACTTTATTACTCTTATCCCCAAGTCTATTGGATGGTTTAACTTTAAGAGCAGTGAGCACGAGCGTTGGGAATTGGCTGAAATCTCATAATTGATGATTGATTCATTACAACCGAGCAATCATCGAAAATAATTGGTTAGCGTTATTTATCAAATCTTCCTGACTGTGTGTGCTAATGCTAAGAAAATCTAGAAAATACATGTACTTCTTTTGAGTTTTTATTTTTTCAAATTGCTTGGTCGTTTAGTCATTGCGACCAATCTTTGATTATTTCAATTAATAGGACCACCACTAGTGAGCACACTGGTTAGGCCTTGAAGATGAAATGGGAATCACCTAAAGATGATATGTATTTTCGTCCATTATGAAAAATGTTCATAGCGAATAATGGGACAAAAAAAAACAATAATATATTTTTAAAAAGACTGTATCTAGTATATGAAAAATGGATCATTGGATCATTTGCATTTCTTCCGAGGAAAACATGTTGCTACTTTGAGAAAACAAGACTTGATCAAAAGCGGAATGTTTCTGAACATGTTGCTACTTTGAGATCAAGACTTGATCAAAAGCGGAATGTTTCTGAACCCGGCGCTAGTCACAAGTGTTCGTTGACTGGTCGGTATCGGTACAAAGCTTGGCGCTTCCTCTCTTGCATAAACCTGTATGCCAGGATGGCCAGGAACATGGCCAGGATGACCGGGATGAGGACAGCTACAGCTACAGTTGCTCCTGTGGGACAGAGAAGGCAAGGAATGGCTATACAGTGATTTGTAAAATTAAGTGACCTTGGCTGGAAAATTTGGAAACATGTTATTTTCTTTAAAAAATATTATTTTTCTAGAGATATATATTCTCTGGGTATTTTACCATTTAATCGTAATATTGGTTCCAATTCAATCACATAAAATGAATGATATTCTTCTCTTAAGTCTTGTTAACAGAGGAACAGTGAAATATCAGTTGACTTGATGAAGAATGTGTTTTAGTTATAATATATGAAATTTTAAAGTCCCATTTTGAAATATTTACTGCCGATTGCTGCAGATTTGGCACCAAATATCAGCATCTCAGGAGGTGTAAATGAAGCTGTGGTTCTTTGAGTTTCCAAAGAAGCAATGAAATGCAGATGACTCTCCTGCCCCGAAATCCGAAGAGGGACCCTATTTAATGTCTACCTGACCCACATCAACATAGCAATCCTATAATACCCTACCTGACAGGTGGTCCCTGTGTGGTGAGTGTCCTTCACCCTCACACCTACATCAACATAGCAATCCTATAATACCCTACCTGACAGGTGGTCCCTGTGTGTGGTGTGTGGCTGTCACCCTCACACCTACATCAACATAGCAATCCTATAATACCCTACCTGACAGGTGGTCCCTGTGTGGTGTGTGTCTGTCACCCTCACACCTACATCAACATAGCAATCCTATAATACCCTACCTGACAGGTGGTCCCTGTGTGGTGTGTGTCTGTCACCCTCACACCTACATCAACATAGCAATCCTATAATACCCTACCTGATAGGTGGTCCCTGTGTGATGTGTGTCTGTCACCCTCACACCTACATCAACATAGCAATCCTATAATACCCTACCTGACAGGTGGTCCCTGTGTGATGTGTGTCTGTCACCCTCACACCTACATCAACATAGCAATCCTATAATACCCTACCTGACAGGTGGTCCCTGTGTGGTGTGTGTCTGTCACCCTCACACCTACATCAACATAGCAATCCTATAATACCCTACCTGACAGGTGGTCCCTGTGTGATGTGTGTCTGTCACCCTCACACCTACATCAACATAGCAATCCTATAATACCCTACCTGACAGGTGGTCCCTGTGTGTTGTGTGGCTGTCACCCCCACACACCTACATTAACATAGCAATCCTATAATACCCTATCTGACAGGTGGTCCCTGTGTGATGTGTGGCTGTCACCCTCACACCTACATCAACATAGCAATACTATAATACCCTACCTGACAGGTGGTCCCTGTGTGATGTGTGGCTGTCACCCCCGATCACGCCTACATCAACATAGCAATACTATAATACCCTACCTGACAGGTGGTCCCTGTGTGGTGTGTGTCTGTCACCCTCACACCTACATCAACATAGCAATACTATAATACCCTACCTGACAGGTGGTCCCTGTGTGGTGTGTGTCTGTCACCCTCACACCTACATCAACATAGCAATCCTATAATACCCTACCTGACAGGTGGTCCCTGTGTGGTGTGTGTCTGTCACCCTCACACCTACATCAACATAGCAATCCTATAATACCCTACCTGACAGGTGGTCCCTGTGTGATGTGTGGCTGTCACCCTCACACATAGCCTTGGAATCTTCTGGTATCATATGCTGGGTGAGTCGTTCCAGTTCCGCCACAGTGCAGAGGTCACTACAGCCTGAAGCATAAACGTGTTTGGTGTTTATCACCCTACTCAGAGAAAGTCCTGCAGTCAGTTCCATAAACAAGTGTGGTACTAAGGTGCCGTTGAGCTTAGCGATAAGGTGGCAGTAACTCCCATACTTTAACATAGGCTTACAAGTGCCATATCTCCAAGACTGCTTTGTCTAATGGGGCCAAGGGTGCCGTTAATCTTAACGCTAAGGTGGCCATAACTCCCCTACTTTAACATAGGCTTACAAGTGCCACATCTCCATGACAGCTTTGTCTAATGGGGCCCAGGGTGGCATTGAATTTAGCGCTAAGGTGGCCACAACTCCCCTACTTTAACATAGGATTACAAGTGTCATATCTCTATGATTGCTTTGTCTAATGGGGCCCAGGGTGTCGTTGTACGAAGTGATCTTAGTGCTTAGGTGACCGTAACACCCCTACCTTAACGTAGACTTATGACAATCGTAGCAGTAGGTTTCATCTCAGATTCCTTTAGAAACAGATTTCAAGTTTAGTTTATTAAACCACTCCGGTTTCAGCTCTGAGACCCCAATATGTACTTAAAATTGTTTACGATTCCACAGTGTTAAACAACATCCATATGCTGCATATGAATTACTGAAACAGAAAGATGGCAAACTTTTCATGCTCATCAAAGTATATTTACCATTTTTGCGAGATGACCAAACCTTTTACATCCTCATGACCTTACCCTACTGTATTGTTTAACTGAGCTATGAGGGGGTATCAAACATTTCTAATTATCACCAAGACATAGTAGAAACTTTATTTTGATTTCTTGTCCTTAAGACTTCTCTACATAATCACCATCCAGAAAGACACATTTCTCCCAACATTTCTTGACCTTGTGCAGACCGGTTGAATAGACCCCCCTGATTTCATGGAAAACCAACCCTCCACAAGATTGAATAAAGAGATGTAAATAGTTTTGGGTCCATATACTAGATAAGGATCACTGATGTTACCTTCAAATTTTCGTCATAATTTCTCAATAAATTCATGGCGATAATTAGAACTTTTTTATATCCCCTCATATCACAGATGTTCATCCATTACCTGATAATTCGAGCAGATATGGTTCAGCAGTTGTGTCATTTCTATAGAACACCTTGACAACAGGGGCATCCTTGATTTCATGTAGTTCTACATAGACGCTGGATCCGTACGGGACGTATCGGTGATTGAACACATTCAGTGCACTTAGAAACGCTTCGATTGTGGAGTCATGCTGAAGGTGAGATAAGATGAAGGCTTTAGGTATTATTAAACATAAGTTAGTGTTAAATCTACCCTAAAAACATATTACCCATTACTGTGCATCAGAGAGTAGGGTTGGGAGTCAGGTTTGGTTTTCGTTGATATTTCTGTTTTCTTTAATGACTGATTTATCAATAACAAAGCACAATAAATTTATCCTGGTGTCATAAGATACAGATGATACCAGGATAGTGATACAGGGATGAAAATGGTAGTTTCTTTTATCGTAAACAAATAAAATTAAGTTAGACAGGGTCTGGAGGACAATGATTTATGTAACATATGACATATTTGGGATTACACTTTCTTAGTAAAGTACATATTTGTTAACCTAATCGACCATTTGTCCGAATTCCATTCTGTGGAAGTCACATGGCTGAGCGGGTTAGGCGGTTGACTTTGTGTGCTGGCTATTAGGGTTCAAATCCTGGATGACTCAACCCAAAAAGTACTAGAATTTGTACTTTACTAAGAAAGTGTAATCCCAAATGTAACACATGTTACATTTGACAACTTTCTTAAATGGAATTTTGCAATCATATGATTTATGTATAATAACAATATCCCTTGATGTGACTAAATCCTAAGAATTTTGCTGATACAAGGAAAATTCTCATCCATTCAGATACATATTGAGAAGTAGCTCCATAAAAACAAAAAACAGGGCTCAGGGTCAGGTAATCCACATTTGTGTCTGTCAGGAAATGGGAAGAATGTCTAAACCTTCGCTCCATCATTTTTTGCCAATTACAGAACCTAAAGCTTATCTTTTCAATAATGATTGGTAATAATGATTTAAACATTTTGCAGTGGGAACTCACTGCTGAGAAGAGAAGAGCTTTCCTTGACAATTTATTAGTGATGTGGTCTTTCATGTTCTGTATCATTCTTCCAAGCAGTGGACCTGTAGACACAGAAAGATGATCTAGAATCAATAACCACATATGTATTTGTTGTTTAACACCGCACTCAGCAATCTCTTAACTATATGGCAGCAATCTGTAATTGACCAAGTCTGGATCTGACAATACAGTGATCAACAGCATAAGCATCAATCAATGCAATTGTGATACCAGCGGCGGATGCAGCTTTTTGAGAAAAGGGGGGTGCACTCTTCATTTTTACCTGAGTTTCAATGGTCATTGAACAAACTTTCAGGACAAAAGTGTGTGTGTGTGTGTGTGCACACCCCTGCATCCCCACTCTGGATCCGCCTGTGGATACAATGACATGTGTCAAGCAAGTCAGCGAGTCTGACCACCCTAACCTGTTGGTCGCCTCTTATGACAAGCATGGGTTGCTGAAGACCAATTCTAACCCGGATCTTCACGGGTGGTACTTACATCAGCGGTAATATATTGCACACAATAGCAAACTAGAGCACTCTGATCCTGAAGTCATGTGACACCATGGCATCTGACGCTAGACTAATAGTAGATAGTATTGTAATTTGCTGTTATCTGAGAGACAGACTTACCTCCCCTGATGCAGACAGGAGTTACCTCCCTGATGCGAGCCAGTTCAGGAGTGTTTGTCCTTACTTGAACTTTCAAATCTATCAGTTTCAGGATGATCTCTGCTGTGTCGTTTACTATCAGCCATGGTGGATAGGGCTTCTTGTTTATTTTCTGGACACATCAAACATCAGTGATGGGTATTAATGACATATTCAAGAGAATATTAGGTGAGTAATGAATTGAATTCCATGAAGGGCTAAGGTTTTCACGCCACTTTTAGCAATATTACAGCAATATCACAGCAGGGGGAAAACCAGAAATGGGCTTCACCCCTTGTACCCATTTGGGAACTCAAACCCGGGTCTTTGGCATGATGAGCGAACAAATAAAATCTCTAGGCTACCCCACTGCCCCACATATTCAAAGTCAACACTGTAAAAAATCATGTCGCTGCCATATTGAAATGTTCATTTCCCTTTTACAGAAAATCAAATATCTGCTAAGTAGAGTATCTTAAAATCCATTGCATGAAATCAACATAAACCAGCGGGTCATCTCACACTGACCACTCTTCCACACATAATTTCATCAAACTGTCTGTACTGTCTGTAATAGTAGTAGTAATAGTCCACTTATATGGTGATATATCCAGGCACATTGCCTGCTCACAGCCCTACGTACATTACTATCCCCAGGCACAGGGAACTATCACACTTTCCGATACTTTTTCAACTCCCTGGGGATCATACAGCCATATTGCCTGTTAGGTGCAATGAATTAAACACTCACATTGCCGGAACATCCTCACGGGGACCCATTTTACAGCTGGGTGAATTGAGATAATGTGGATCTAAGTAGCTTGTGTAAGGATACTATGCAAATGTGCCCACCTCTGGACCTCAACCTAGGTGCCTCCACCAGGGATCAAACCCAGGCCTTTAGCGTAATAGGCAGATGCCTTACAACTGCACTATCGTCTATAAAAAATGATGTACTTTAATTCTAAAAAAAAATAATTGCTGAATGTACCGGTACCTCACACAGAAGAGGATCCATTATAAGAAGAAGGCTGCCAAGAGTAGCGCTGAGACCAGAATGCTGTGAGATGTAGTCTATAAGGTCCTGGAAATAACAATGTCTCATGTTATAATTAACAGGACAACTGTACACAAAGAACTTACAAAGCACCCCCTGTGTTTTTGCAATGATAAGTTTTCAACACATACATAAAACTTCTCATGGTGACCACGATGGAAAAACAAGTTTTTCTGACCCGTATGATCCTTTGACTTATAACAGACAATGAAATGATTGGAATCCATGTTGATTTTATGATTATAATTGCTCATTTCGAGAAATCGCTGCTTTTCATACGAAACCATGTCTGTATAAGTATGGCCCTGGAATGTTTAAATGTTAAATTTATTGGTGAATATGAACATTCAAAATGTCATTTTGCATGTCTTACACGATTCAAGGTCAATACTGAGTGTGACCTCCATGTGACTGTATGACAGCCAGCACTCTCCTCCTCGAACCCCCTGTCAGCCTCTTGATCCTCTGAAGGGGCAGTCTACATCATTCCTCGTGTAAAACAGCTTCCATTTGGAGTACCTTCTGTACAAGAGGATCCCTTTGCTACACCAACGACCAATCATGTCCCACATATGCTCCAAAGGGTTAAGATCAGGGCTCATTCAATCATGAGACATGACAGGGGGTGCTTTGTGTATATATTGCGTAATATAGTTATCAAAATTTACAATTCAGTTAATCTAAAATAAAGTTTAATAAATAGTATCAAATATGAAACTACCATTACTTTTGAAACATATATTACAGAAAGTGTTTTCTTTGCTTTTGAGGAATATTTGTGGGTAAGAAATTCCTTGTATTAGAGAGATAATGGTTTGGTTAGACTCCCAGTAATTTGATAACATTATGTTCTTGGGGCATGAAGGTTAAATCTGAAAATTATTGATACATCTTTAAGAATATCCATTACTGTTAATAATATATTGAAAGATGAAGCCAGTGACAGACATGATGGTGGGGCCACAAATATCAACTGTATTGAGTTGATGGTTTTTGTTTAACGCCACTGACTCAGCAATATTCCAGATAGATGGGACTTTAGTCTGTAAATAATCATGTCTAGACCAGACAATCCAGTAATCAATATCATGAGCATCAATCTATGCAATTGGGATATGATGACATGTGTCAACTGTATGAATGTCACTCAGCAATATTCCAGATAGATGGGACTAACCACCAGACAATCCTCTTAGGTCAAGCATGGGTTGCGGAAGACCAGTTTTATCCCGGATCTTCAAGGGTGGTATGTAGGGTTGGGTATCGCCAAAATTTTCGAATTGCGATATTGTGTGATATGTGTTGGCATATTGCAATATGTATTGCAATATATTGCGAAAGTGTAACACATGTGTTAAAGTAATGAAATTACTGTTTCCTTTCTTTTGGAATAATGCCACTGGCCACTGTCAGGACTCAGATGTAATTGTACAAGAGATCAATTGAAAATGTTTCCAATTTGAAGACTTCCCTCTAAAGTTTGGAACTCGTGAAAAAGCGTCTGAAGCGGTGTCCGCCATTTTGGTTTGTTTAACCCTATGAGTGACGGTAACAATCTATTCTTTTATTTACATGATTTGAAAATCATGCAAATGCAATTACATGACCAATAAACATTCTCAAAACTATTAATGTATAATAATATAAATGAAATACAAATGTTATTAGAAGTGTTGACTACATCACGAAAATTAGAGATCGTATCGGGAGAACCGGTTTGCAAAAAGTGTACCGCAATATATCATATTGTGAAGTTCGAATTGCAATATAGAGGTAAACCGCTATCAGGGCTCAAGATAATTTTTCAACATCAGGAGTATGTACTCCTTATTTTTTGTAATATAGGAGTACTGGAAAAACTGAAAGAGTACATTTCGATTACAGAATGGAATTTAATGGAGTATCAGTAAGCTTCTGTTTCATTTCATATATGCACCACAACATTGCTACTCTTGTGTAAACAGGTAGAAAAAACAATGAAACAAATTCAGTCTGTAAATGATTCTAAGACCGTACACCATTGCTGTGGTGCGTATCTGCTATGTTTTCTAAATTATTTCCTACCATATTGCATATATTTTATCCGTACATACGCCGATACAGCCCTTATCTGGAGCCCTGGGTATTATCGCCCACCCCTAGTGGTATGAGTAAATAAGTAATGGACTCCCCATCATCCAGTCAGCCTACCTTGTGTTGGTTCTGTATCTTCAGCATGGGAGGACTCTGCAGCAGCTCCTCGTACGCTTTCTCATACGTGGGGCAGTGCAGGTACAGCAGCTGGAGACAGACAAGTGGTCAGTGTAGCAATAACTACAGAACAGCTGTGTTACAACTGTACGACAGCTACAGTGACAGTACAGCTGAGTCACAACCTTATGAGAGCTATACCACAGCTACAGAACACCTGTCACAGCTATATGAGAGCTACAGAATAGCTGTGTTAAAGCTACAGAATAGCTGTGTTAAAGCTGTATGACAGCTACAGAACAGCTGTGTTAAAGCTGTATGACAGCTACAGAACAGCTGTGTTAAAGCTGTATGACAGCTGAACAGCTGTGTTAAAGCTGTTGATGACAGCTACAGAACAGCTGTGTTAAAGCTGTATGACAGCTACAGAACAGCTGTGTTAAATGCTGCTATGACAGCTGTGTTAAAGCTGCACGACAGCTACAGAACAGCTGTGTTAAAGCTGTATGACAGCTACAGAACAGCTGTGTTAAAGCTGTATGACAGCTACAGAACAGCTGTGTTAAAGCTGTATGACAGCTACAGAACAGCTGTGTTAAAGCTGTATGACAGCTACAGAACAGCTGTGTTAAAGCTGTATGACAGCTACAGAACAGCTGTTTAAAGCTAAATGACAGCTACAGAACAGCTATATCACAGCTGTGTTAAAGCTGTATGACAGCTACAGAACAGCTGTGTTAAAGCTGTGTGAACAGCTACTACAGAACAGCTCACAGCTGTTTAAAGCTGTATGACAGCTACAGAACAGCTGTGCTACAGCTCTATGTGTAAAAGCTACATGACAGCTATAGAACAGCTGTGTTAAAGCTATATGACAGCTACAGACAGAACAGCACAGCTGTGTTAAAGCTATATGACAGCTACAGACCAGCTATATCACAGCTGTGTTAAAGTTATATGGGAGCTACAGAACAACTATAACACAGCTGTGTTAAAGCTATATGACAGCTACAGAACAGCTATATCACAGCTGTGTTAAAGCTGTATGAGAGCTACAGAACAGCTGTGTTAAAGCTATATGACAGCTACAGAACAGCAGTGTTAAAGCTATATGATAGCTACAGAACTGTTATACCACAGCTGTGTTAAAGCTATATGACAGCTACAGAACAGCTGTGTTAAAGCTATATGAGAGCTACAGAACAGCTATATCACAGCTGTGTTAAAGCTATGTGAGAGCTACAGGACAGCTGTCACAGCTATATGAGAAGCACAGCACAGCTGTTTTACAGCCATATCATAGCTACACCTCACCTGTCTAAGCTATATGAGAGCTACATCACAGCTACATCACAGTTGTCATAACTATATCAGAGCAACAGCACATCTGTGTCAGCACTATATCTACATCACAGCAGATCACAACCTATGAACTAAATTTGTATTTTCTCTAAAAGCTGATGGCTACTGCAGCGCCTTAAACAAATGGGCCAGCCATCATCCCAGGAGATGAACAAATTAGTATTTACTTTTGGACATAGACAACACAACTTACATAGTCCTCTGACCTAGGAACTGTGTGAACTGGTATTGGTTGCCATGGTAATGTACCATTCCAAACTTGCTTGCCCTCTGGTGGATAAAGGCCAGTGAGAACACTGTAGGCGCTCATCAACGTCCTGTCAACGCCGGTGAAAGTACTGTCGGAAATGCTAGAAAAATGCTTTTTAGCCTTAATATCTTTATAAAGGTGATAAATGTACTATGTTGTCAATATATCAACTCGCCTATTGTCTACCTAATTTTTATTTCAATCGATTTAACATTCCCATGCATTTAAAGGGCAGTTTACAGGAGAGAATTTGGTACCAAAACAGCAACTTAATATTTTTTCAGAGTTCAACAACAGAAATCTGAAATAGTCTTTACATTTATGCTAATAATACAGGTGGTGTAAAAATATGAATTAACGTTTTTCCTAAACAAATAAATATTCAATGTTTGTGTTACTTTACTTAATTATCGTTTCTTTATTGAAGAAATATTATTATAAATGTTAAGTCTTGATAAATAAGTTTCCCGTCATGCATGCACATCTTTATCACAGCGTCCACTATGGCCAACGATTTGCAGTCGATTGTTGCAAAGGTTTATAGTTTTTTTCTGCTTAAAAAAGACAGAGGTAAACCTTTCATTAGTTTAGAAAGGGTTTATTACAGAACTTGTAGAGCTGTTGGCATGTCTTACCAACAAGTTTACAATATTGTAAACAAATCAGACAAGACAGGGACCGTCTCAAATGCAAAACCGGGACGTAAAACCATCCTTGACAACTTTGACAAGGGAGTGCTTAGACGGGCGGTCTACAAACTTTATGAGAAGAAAAATATACATATTCTAAAGAAGCTACACCAGTGACTTCGTTAAATCTTTGGCCAATGTTCACAACTAGATTAAACTGACCGAATTACATCCATATGTTTTCAATGAAATATACTGTTGACATGCAAAACATTTATTAAAACGTTGCACATTTCTACAATCAATCGATAAGATAACACAAGTGATTGGACTCTTTCCAATGTACAGTAATTCGTATGTTTATTTCAAAACAAACACACATACACAAATGATCCCTTACATAACCGATACGTATACTATACGTACACATATTCAACATTTTGCAGAAAACATCTATTGAGATGACCCCTCGCCCGAGCGCGTGCTCAGGTGTCAATTTCACCTGTCGATACCGTGGATGCTGATGACGTAACACAGGCAATTAATGTTTGTATCAAATAACGTCCCACTACCCCTTATTTTTCTAAGTTTTTGGTATTTTCATCAGTAAAAACACATTTTAGGGCATGTCTCAAAATTTATTCTCTCGGTCTACATTAGGTAGATGTTTCTTGAAGTGATATTTGTTATTTAAGTAACTGTAATACCTCTGAATTTTAAATATAAGTCAAAAAGCATTTTTCTAGCATTTCCGACAGTACTTTAGTTAGGAAATCACTACCAATGTAGTGTGTACTGATGAACAGACTCACCTCTGTGTTTGTGTAGTTAGCTGTTAGGAAATCACTACCAATGTAGCGTGTACTGATGAACAGACTCACCTCTGTGTTTGTGTAGTTAGCTGTTAGGAAATCACTACCAATGTAGCGTGTTCTCATGAACAGACTCACCTCTGTGTTTGTGTAGCTAGCTGTTAGGAAATCACTACCTAATGACAGGTTAGATGAACAGACTCACTACTGTGTTTGTGTAGCTAGCTGTTAAGAAAACCACTACCTCCACGATAGTTCTCATGAACAGACTTACCTCTGTGTTTGTGTAGTTAGCTGTTAGGAAATCACTCCATGTAGCGTGTTCTGATGAACAGACTTCACCTCTGTGTTTGTGTAGCTAGCTGTTAGGAAATCACTACCTACGAATTGTGTTCTGATGAACAGACTTACCTCTGTGTTTGTGTAGCTAGCTGTTAGCTGTTAGGAAACCACTACCTACCATTGTATGAACAGACTTACCTGTGTGTGTGTAGTTAGCTGTTAGGAAATCACTCAAATGTGAACAGAACAGGCTTACCTCTGTGTTTGTGTAGTTAGCTGTTAGGAAATCACTACCATGTAGTGTGTTCTGATGAACAGACTTACCTCTGTGTTTGTGTAGTTAGCTGTTAGGAACTCACTACCTACGTATTGTGTTCCGATGAACAGACTTACCTCTGTGTTTGTGTAGCTAGCTGTTAGGAACCCACTACCTATATATTGTGTTCTCAGGAACAGACTTACCTCTGTGTTTGTGTATAGTTAGCTGTTAGGAAATCACTCCCGATGTAGCGTGTTCTGATGAACAGACTTACCTCTGTGTTTGTGTAGCTAGCTGTTAGGAAGCCACTACCTACGTAGCGTGTTCTGATGAACTGACCAACTTCATACATCTGTTTCATGCCCACCTACAACATTTAGATGAAAAACTTTGTTAATGCACAACTGTAACACACAAAAATAATAATGTATGTGTTAACAGGTGATCATATAACTGTGAAAATATATTTGCAGCTTCAACACAGCGTACTCTTTAGCTCACATGTGAAACCATGACATTTGAAAATTTGCATGTGATTGGTTCAGGAACCCATGCATCTTTCCTTCATTCATATTAAATGTTTGCTGAAGGTTGATATGACATGACAACAGCCTCCGTTGTCAAGTGGACACAGTATCCACATTAATGCAAACATTTGCATGGTTCACGCAAATAAATCTACATTTCACGCACGATATTTTCTACATGCATGTTCTGCACGCAAAGAATTTTGTATTCGGGGAACAATTACCTGAAATATGTATTTTACCCAAGGAAACTACATAATACAATAAAGTTTCTCTCAGGTAATTTGACTTGTGAATGATGACAACATGCTCTGAAATGCAAGGAAATGATGTCTACATTTCAAAATTTTATGGGGGGACCCCACATCCCCCAAGAGACCTTGACGCTTTCTGGCTCAGGCATGCACACGAAAGATTCTTGGGGCTCTGCGTTTTAGGAATGTGAAGCTTTTTTTCCTACAGCTACCCCTGGACAGAGTTTCTGGGAAAATGTGGCTGATGAACATCCTCCTCAAGCATTAGTACAGAGTTTTAACTTGCCATACAAACATGGAGGTCCAGGGGACCACCATCAATAAATTTAGCAGGTCCTTGCTGGTAATTTGAGGGTTCTGTATAGTTTTAAAATGGTGTATTGTACGTGTAGTGCACGTTCAGATAATTACTTCAGAGCCTGGGATGAATCAGTGATCACGTGGACAATGGTCATGACTGATGGGTGAAATAACAGACAGATAACCAGTGTTCACGAATAGTGTCTGACCCTCTGACAAATCCGGCAGATTTTCCGGTGGTCCGGTGGAAGTCTACCACCTGCCAGCCACAGTGTCCGACTGTATATTTCACAATGACTTTGACTGAAGTTGTCGTATGTGACACATCACACTTGTTTGCTGTTTACAAATTTTACGTTTGTTAATAATTTCAATGCCACTTATAAGAAGTGTTAAATCTGAAATGTGTGTTTAATTTTTATTCTATGGGTCCTGTGAATTTTCAGTGGGTCGAACAGACCTCTGAAACTTACAGGACGCAATGTCCTGTTACTTTGAAACACCATTCGTGAACACTGGATAACTACTCTTGATGAGGTATAGGTTCGCTCTTGGTATATTTGTGCGTCTCTCCTGCGTATCGTGGGTTTTCTGCGTCCATTCTCTGCATTTGTGCGTACTGGATGCACATTTTTGCGTCACGTAAAACCCTGATTAGAACATGTGAGAAAAGTGGTTTCTGCATGTTTTGAAACTGTACTGTTGTTTTTTACACAGTTCGTCTGCCTGTATGACTATGAGTGAGTGAGTGAGTGAAGATTTAAACTAAAGTCACATCTGTAATATTTCAGACATACCGACTAAAATAACTCGTACATTGATAATAAATAGAATACAATGTAAAATCTGTTGACAAGGTCAATACAATTTCTAGAATATCACACACATAGGTTTAAAAGTGGCATGTAACTTTAAAATTTTATCACTATTCATGACAACACAATATAAAATACTGTTAAATCATAAAACACCTGTCAACAAAGGACAATAAAAATAGAATGTCACAGAAACAGAATTTAAAATTTAATTTCTATCAGAACAACACAATATAGAAATGAGCTGTCGCTCTCCAGCAACAGATGGCATCACCATACTACGGGCCATGAGGACTTACAGTACTTTGCTACCCACATGGACACCATCATTCCTTCAGGTGTTTATTGACAAAATTACCTAAATCTGCCTGTGTAACACAGGGCTCAATTTTGTGCTTTGTTACTTGCACCGGTGCAACCCAATATTACACATTGCAACCTAATTATTTGTCTAACTTGCACCAGGTGCAAGTCAATTTTTGAGAAATAAATAACAATAAATCTGACATTATAAACATAATTATCTCAGCACATTATTCTTCTAAACTTTGAATAATTCAGTAGCATATTTCTGCCATTACATATTGCAATAAAAGCAGTGCAACTGGAATTTGGCTGGTGCAACTAGGTTTTTGTCTTAGGTTGCACCTGGTGCAAGTAGGTTAACATTCCTTAAATCAAACCCTGTAATATGTTATTGCAAAATATTCAAATGTAATGCATGTGTAAAAACATGCCACAGATCAATGCAAGGAAGCCATATACAGACTATGAAAGATCAACACCCTGTGTTTAACCTGAGTCATTACCTTTCACTTTGACTGTATAAGAGTGAGTGAGTTAGTGTAGTTTTACGCCACACTCGGCAATATTCCACCTATATGGCGGCAGTCTGTAAATAACTGAGTCTGGACCACACAATCCAGTGATCAACACCATGCGCATTGATCTGCGCAATTGGGAACCGATGACATGTGTCAACCAAGACAGCAATTCTGACCACCCGATCCGGGTAGTCGCCCCTTACGACAAACATGTTTTCCTGAAGATCAATTTTAACCTGGATCTTCAAGGGTCGACTATATCAGAGAAGAGTGAACTTCAATGTAAAATACAACCCATAATATATGCGAACAAATTTGTAAGCGATGTACCATATATGCAAATAAATGAAATTCTTAACTTGAAGCAACTTCTTTCAAGCCAAATGTGTACCTGGGTCAAAGGTTTTGCAGACAGCTTGAATGACTAGAATTAACAAACATTGCACAGCTACCGTCACCATGTAACCAAACTGGGGTCATGTATGGTTGTATCTGCTTAAATGCTAAATGTCACACCACACTTCTCTAAAAAATAATAATACATTTCTCTTAATAATACTAACTATCAGCCCTCAGGGAAGCTACCATACAATTTATTCCAAAAACAATCATGCATTTAGATTACAATGTTAAATGAAAAAGTTCGAATGAATTAATGCAAAGTTGCATTAAATCAACTCTCGCCCTCTGCTGGTCGAACATTATTTCACGCGAACCCGATAGAGTTATGTCCCTTGGAGCGCTCTTTATGAATATCATACACACAACTTGTGATTGAAATCAGTTCGGCAACAGTTTCCAATGAACGGAGCAATTGTTTACATTCCATACATGGTACGTGTTCTCTGTTTGGAAGCTGTTCGCCTCAAAGTTTCAATTAATCATTTCAGGCAAGTTGTAAAGGATAATAAATCTTTTATTGCATCAATAGGAAGCTCAAGTGAGCACATATGCCCCAATATATATAATACAGGCCAAAATATTGTCGAAAATATGTGACATTGTGCCTTTAAGCAGCTATACCCATATTGGAAACCATAATCTTGCCATAGGTTATGATTTTTGTGTTAGTATCAAAATGGCTGTGATAATGCTAGAAGTTCTAGAATGAATACTGAAAAAGTACACAAACCTTGGACAGCTGACCAAGCCCCTGCGGCCAGGAGTCCTCCTGATACGGGTCTGTGGGGTACACATGGGTTGGACTACGGTCACCATGGCGGAACAGCTGAAACCGAGATGTAACGACAGGTGAAACCACGATGAAATGACAGGTAGGTTCTCTTGTAATATCCAGGTTAAAATTTAGTGATGAGAGTGAGTGTGGTTTTATGCCGCTTTTGGCAATATTCTGGCAATACTTGGACACTGTTGGGGTGCGATTCCACAAAACCATCGTAGTGCTGATGTTATCGTAAGTCGTAAACTTTAACATATAGACTTATGAGTGAGTAAGTTTGGTTTTAAGAAGCTTTTAACAATATTACAGCAATATCACGGCAGGGGACACCAGAAATGGGCTTCACAACTTGTATCAATGTGGTTTTTTTTGGCATGATGAGCAAACGCTTTAACCACTAGGCTGTACCCCTTCTGATAGTCCAGTGATCAACGGCATGAGCATCGATAGCTTTGTGGAACAGTGCCCAGGGGCCCACATATTGTACCCATGTTGGGAATCAAATCTTGGGCTTCCCATGTTTGGAATCAAATCTTGGGCTTCAGTGCGACGAGCGAATGTTTTAACCGGTTATAATAAGGATGTGATCACATTTTATGACACAACAGAATCGCCATAATCACATTAGCCTGAGAATGATTTAATAATCTATATCAAAACATGTCGGTTTCCTGACTGTAATATCTTATAAACATTGGTTGCCTATTTGTCTCAACAGGAAGTATTCGTGATTGTAGTGTATTAATCTGTGCCTGTTTCATATACACAATGTTATGATATTGACCCGATAATGCCCGCATGAGTTTTGTGGCAGGGTTTACAATCACAGATGCTAAAACTGCCATCAAGGCATATATTATCACTGAGTCTTGTACTATATATAGTACTAAGACCCCGGCAGTGATAGTGGCAATTTTACGCGTTACAAGCCCCTGTGTTTACAATTACAATCGATTATTGATTAATTACTGCATGAGCTCCATTATTGATCTGCATAATGTGAGTGAAACCCGGCACTCGTCATTTAAGACAGGTACCCCTTTACAATCAAACATCCTTTCAAATCCTTAGCTATAGTGTTGGCTACCACTTGCTTATGAAACACTCCTTTGCGATCCAAACGGCGAGGTTCAGCTTTACAATCCCTATTTCAGTTGTGTCATCATTTAACAAATTCATCCTATGTAATTTGAACGCGGTCTTAACATATTTATTGTCAGTTTTAATCAATAATATTATTTGTGACTACGTTCGTCATCCACAGTAGAGTGTTGGCAAACTCGTCTGCTCAGCTTTAGCCGCTAACTTTAGGCTGGTATAGCTATAGTTTTAACCTCCAGGAAATCCGAAATAATGCGCCCAGAAATGTGATAGCCTTATGTAGACACCATATTACATCCTCGTAGTATGTATTTTCGGACGCATAATAACATTCATTGTTGTCTCGCATATCAGACGAAAAACTGTAAAACATTGCACTTGCGTCTTGAGTGTAAAACTAGTAAAAGCCAGTTTTTACCCAAAACACAAGCCAGTTTCCGCGTAGCTTACAATGTCTGTAAGACACAACATATCTCGTTAAAGTGCGATTAAAACACTGATGATGTGAGCAAACATACGCGATGGTGCATTATCAACGAATCTTGTCAATAAAATACCCTGAGCTTTTGCCATATCAACATACAACGTCTGGATCAGTGGATCATGGATGTCTGCTCAGACTGCTGACGACGGGACATGGCGAAGGAAAAGCAGCTCACAAATAGCATTGACATACTCACAATTTGTACTAATCTTAAGGTTGTTGAATCAGTTGGGCTTATGGTATCCACTTTTGTCAATAAAACTAAAACTATAAAGAGTCGCATTTCTCTACATCGGTCATATTTTTGTTTATCGATGTCACCGTTTGTTTAGAGTGACCTCCCTTTGAAGCTTCGTCGAGGGCCTGTTTGGGTTGCATTCAGCGTGTCATGAGGCTGACACGGATTTAATGTTAAAAAGGTATGTTCGGTTAAATGTATGGAAAAATAAACAAAGCGAAAACTAGATGACTTACAGTTTTTCCTTAGAGGGCGAAATATGTCTTTATGTTATCATGGTGGTAAAATGTCATATTGCAAAATTGGAGGAAATTTTATTTTAAGCAATTCATCTCGATTCTTTTATTAATAATATTGAATACATGATTTCTTAATGTATATTGATTACACACACACAAAAGCAAATGAATAAAAAATAAATCGCTTTGAACAAAACAAATTGGCTTTTCGTGCATTTTGCCATTCCTGACCCATATATTGACTAATTCTTGAATTAGAGATATCATGCCACAGTTAAGCATGAATACCCCACTCAGACACATTATACGAGCCGACCAGTCCTTGTTGTACCCATTAATGTCGGGCGCCAGGCAGGGACCAACAAGTACCATATTTAACGTCTTTTGGTATGACGTGGTCGGGGATCGAACCCGCGACCTTCCGCTCTCCGGGCGGACGCTCTAACCACTACACCACGGACGAGGCCTCTTCCTATAGAACCTAATTACGTATTGACGACAGTGGAGAGAATGTAAAGTCTAGGTACCCATTTTTCGTATTCATACACCCTTGTATCTCCATTATAATGTATTACTGTATGCTGTCGACTTTTCTAATAGTATTGGTAACACTTTGGGAATAGTTTAGTTTTCTCCCTTTTTTTCCCCGAGGTGATTTCAAAATTAATGAACATGGTTTAAGCAATAACCCGTATATACAGATCTTAATCCTCAAATCAGTAAACAACCACACATGATCCTGGACTAATGAATATAATAAACATACAGTTTGATGTCTACAGTCAAACGGGCAATAAAACTGACGGCTGGTATTAGACTAACGCTTAGTCTCTGGATATGCATGTATATAATGTTGATAGTAACAAACAAACCCATTTAAATTGAAAAGGAGCCCCAGGGAGAAGACCAGAGACCTGAGCAAATCTAGACTTGCTTCATTTTGGGCTTTACCATTGCAGAGAGGGCTAGGCAGTAGGGAAACTAATGTGGCTCAGGGAGTGTGAGACAGACTAGGCTGGTATTGGTAACAGACCCTAGAATTATTGTCACTACACTTACGACTGTTTAGGCGTTTGGCATTGTCCAAAAACAGTCCAGTTTCAGGGCTTGAATTCAGAACAGTGCTGCAAGTTATCAGGGATTCAACGTGTTTTAATAACACGTATCAAAAGTGCACATGGCAAATGAATTAAAAAACAAGTTAAGTCGAAAAGTCTGAAATCATCATCCATCTGTCGCTTTATATGGAAAATCCAACCTTTTAGAAACTACACCATCCCATTCCAAAACCTTTTCAGCCACGAAGCACGCCATGTTCAAAACGTTCTCGAATCTCCCTTTTGTCGTTCTTATATAGGTACAGCCAACCTTCTACAGATGGTAACTGCCCCATCCTAAGTATTGATATTTTACATCTTTAATGAGATGAATGGTTTATCAGTGTAACAGGAATATCTGACTGAGATTTACATTTGTCGTTGAACGTCCGGTGACCATAGATTTAGTTAGATGATTGGCCAAAGCGCCCTACTGTCCATCACGTCATTTACCATGAAACTTCACCCTCAGTAATATCGCGTCAATCCGCCCGTCGTCTTAAGACAATCTTGGATTCGACGAGGCATCTCCAAATCAAACGTTCAGTACGAACGTGTTTCAGTCCACCCCATTCTCCTTGAAGGGCAGCACCGGGTTTGTTGAGAGTGGTCGGTGGTTGTTGACGGTTAGGTACACGCCGTCCAAGTATGTCCCAGGGCCTAGATTTTCGAAGCCGTCTTAGCGCTAAAACAGTCTTAAGTTAATGTTAATGTATGGCACTTACGACTATCTTAGCGCTAAGAGAGCTTCGAAAAATCTAGGCCCAGGCATGTTGGATATGTTCTTCTGCTGGAGGTACTTAGTGACAATACGAGCCATCTGTGCTCTTGTTGGAGGTTCTCAGTAGCAATACGAGTCACCTGTGTGCTCTTGTTGGAGGTATGTCAGTAACAATACGAGCCATCTGTGCTCTTGTTGGAGGTACTCAGTAACAATACGAGCCATCTGTGCTCTTGTTGGAGGTTCTCAGTAACAATACGAGCCATCTGTGCTCTTGTTGGAGGTACTCAGTAACAATACGAGCCATCTGTGCTCTTGTTGGAGGTACTCAGTAACAATACGAGCCATCTGTGCTCTTGTTGGAGGTTCTCAGTAACAATACGAGCCATCTGTGCTCTTGTTGGAGGTTCTCAGTAACAATACGAGCCAGGTACTCAGTGCTCTTGTTGGAGGTTCTCAGTAACAATACGAGCCCTCTGTGCTCTTTGTTGGAGGTACTCAGTAACAATACGAGCCATCTGTGCTCTTGGTGGAAGTTCTCAGTAACAATACGAGCCCTCTGTGCTCTTGTTGGAGGTTCTCAGTAACAATACGAGCCATCTGTGCTCTTGTTGGAGGTTCTCAGTAACAATACGAGCCATCTGTGCCATCTGTGCTCTTGTTGGAGGTACTCAGTAACAATACGAGCCCTATATTTGTTGGAGGTATTCTAACATATGTCGTCATCATGAAAAGTAAAACGACGTCCACGTCCAAATAGCAACACGTTTGCCTGCAGGATGTTGTCACGGTAGTACTACCCAGTAGCACATCCATGCAAAACATGTAAAGGTTCCACCAGTCACAGTGATCCCACCCCACACCACGACCGAGCCACCCCGAAAACGATTGTTCTGTCCAACGTTAACGGCATGGCAACGCCCATTCCGTCTACGCCACACTCTGTTGCAGCTGTTAAGGATGTACAAGGTAAACCTCGAACGTTTGCCACGTGATTCACCTGAGCATGAGCATGGATTAGTTAAACAGTCGATCTCGTTATGAAACAGTCTTGTGCGCCATTGCGACCAGACCGACGTTTGTCATTAAGCTTATTTGTCTGTCGATGTCATGAGTAATCTAAGCTAATTAAAGCTTTCACTGCTTGAAACGTCCAACATAAAATTGCTTGTGTCGTTTGTCGAAAAATCTCAGAAAAAAACGTTCAGTCTGGTTTTTATCACTGAAATGTACAGCATCACACATTTCACAGTAAATTTCGAGTGTTACCCCGACCATTTACACGTACATGCAACACGCTTTCCCGAAATGGGCATGTTTTGCACGACATTCACAGCACGTCGTTAGAGAATACAGTTTCTAAATTCCAATGAAATGATACAGCTTGCTGTCCATATAGCATCACCATGAGCACACCAGAATGGAATATTCCCTACTTTTAGAAATAGTATGCGTTTACAAACTGTGTAGCAGACATTGTCATTACTTCGTCATAAAAGTAACACTTACATAACGGATTAACGGGATTTGGTGGTCAGGATCGCGGACTATATGGGGCGCGGTGGGCGAGCTTTGGTGGTCAGGATCGCTGACTTATGGGCAGACGCACAACCCCTAGTGTGGGCGAGAATTGGCTAAGGCGCCAGGCTACTGTGATCCCAACGAGGTTGAGGTGTCGGGATCTTCCCAGGGAGTTGAGATTGAGCCCACCTGTGACCGGGTGTAAAACCTTGGAGTCAACTTTGTTATTGCTGCAGACTCTTTCAGTGTTCTTGTCACAAACCCTAACACACTCGGCCACCGAACAAATGACAGAACGACAGTACCACAACCCTGTGCACAGTGCCTTTTAAAAGTAGAACCCCGTTTGGCGAATCCGTTGGTATTTGACCAGATGCAGAATTTATGTCCTAAAATAAAATAGATGTTTTAACACGACATGAGTGCAAACACCTAGTTGCGGGTACAGCAACGTCCATGCAGGTAGCAAAAGTACTGTAAGTCCCCATGGTCCTTAGCATGGTGATCTACCTTCAGATGCTGGTGATCTGCAGCCCGTTTTTATATTACATTGTCTGTACCATTTGTCTAATCTTAGGAGGTACTTGTTATGTTTAGTTCTCTAACAGTGATAATCTAATAATTTCACTGTTCTTTGTCGACAGTTTTTTAAATAATTTAATTGCGTTTATTATTAATTTATAACTTTTTAAGTCACAATATGGCTGAAATATTGCCGATGTGAATATAAATCTTAACTCACTCACTCACTCAACCCAAAAAGTACTAGAATTTGTACTTATACAGTGTAATCCCAAAAATACACCATAGTATACATCAGTGCAGGTATGTGCCCAACGTTCTCCAATAATGTGGCCAAGTTGTATTTGCTGGTGGTCTATACATCCCGTACAAGCATAAGAACACATTGATCCACGTGATTGTTTAAAATAACTTATCTTCCGAATAGTTAGTATTTGGTTTTTAAAATGATCTCTTAATCTCACCAGCTGGCCCACCTTCAACGCAAGTGTAACAAGAGTCTTTAAAGGGAACACAATTCAAATTCTCGATAGTTTCCAACAATGGATCGGCTGTATCTTCGCGGAATACAAATTTGCTTATTATGGACTATAATTTCGCCAGTGTTCAGCGTAATTCTCGCTGCGCGGAGGATCGAAGAACGAGAACCCGTCACATCATGTAACCATGCCCAGATACCGTTAGATTATATTATCATACGCACACGATAAATTGGTTGCATATACATGAACTATTGTCAGCGTATCTGTGCCACACAGACTTATCATCTGATGAATATACATAGTAGGGATAACAATCTACACATATGCTAGTGTCCCTGGGTTTAGAAACATTACATTGTAATTTATTCATTATCAACACGATGGCTGTGAATTTGTTCGTGAAATTTGTATATAATTGATATTGTTTGACTCGTTCGATGCTGGAGGCCTGGTGATATGAATGATAGCTTCGAGGATTTGTGTCAATAGTTTCGTTTAACTCGGTTTAATAATTGACAAAAGAACATGTTAATTAGGTTGTTGAAATTGCACCTATTTCGGGTTACTGAATAAATTAACCTTTTTCGCTTCAGTGAGTGAGTAAGGTTTTACGCCGCTTTTATCAACACATTTTCCTAATATCCCACTAGGAAATGTTTTAACTACTAGGCTGATCCCTTTTAACCTTTTAAAAAAAATCACCTGAGAACTGTACATGCATTGGGGAGGCAATCTGGTTGAATCTGGTTGAAGTTTTATATTCCAAAAGTGTCACAACTCGGAAAAAGTGTTGACAAGATTATTGGAGAACATTTACCAACATATATCGCGTGGGATTTAATTATCTCTATGGTGCTTTTGGTGTTTTGCTGTCGTCTGGTGAACGTTTAAAAGACACCCAGTTTGACGATGGTTAAGCACTAATCAAATGTATCACTTCACTTTCTTTAGTCAGGAATCCCGGTTAGACTTTGTCTTCAGTAACCCGAGCTTGTCGTGAGAGGTGACTAACGGGATCGGGTGGTCAGGCTCGCTGACTTGGTTGACACATGTTATCGTATCCCAATTGCGTGCACCGATCCTAATGATCTTGATGGATTGTCTTGTCCAGACTCAATTATTTACTCATTTAGCAGTCATACAGCTGGAATATTGCTGAGTGCGGTGTTAAAAAAGTTAAACGCACGCACACGCACACACGCTAAACGCGTGCGCGCATGTTGTTTACGCCTATAACACACTCACTGGTTGCGTTGATCAGTCTCGAAAAATGTTCAGCATCACAAAACGATGTAAAGAGCAAGATTTAAAGGTGATGGAAAAGCAACTCAGAACATACGCCTGAGCGCAACAAGTGGAATAGTCCAAGCATGTGCAACACCTGCCACATAGTCATTGGGGCTATAAAATAGTTCATTCTCGATGGAAGTTGAACTGGTTTAACACTTTTACCGGACATTCTTCTCACATTAATTGCTATACTCGCAAAAGAATACCCATTCCAATGATCTGTTTGCCTGTTATTGGAGTGACTGCGTATTTTGGTGAAAGCTAAGGTTTGCTCAAGCAACATTCACTTATACTGGTATTTCCCTGAGTTCCACCGCTCAGCATCAACTGATGCCACAACATTCATCCCATCCGCTTCTACCATGCATTGCATTTTCATTTTGTCTAAACAGAATAGTAATTTTGTGTAGCGCCCTATATGCACACGTATAAACGTTGATATGTTTATGCAAGTTTACGGAAATGCAGCCGAAGCTAGCCAATGTTTTACAGGCTCATGGGCTAGTATTAGGGGCATAGCTGCCATATAGGCCAAAAGGCAATTTCCGACACATAATTTTGTAAAAAAAAATATAAAAAAAGGAAATAATTAATTTGGAAATAAAGAAAGAAAAATGTTACAGGTGATTATATTTCCACATGCTGAAAGCATGGATATGTACGTATAATAAATATACACTGTTAAAATTAGTTTTCAAAAATCACGAGAATCAATCACATGTTCCTAAAGCAATACATGTTGGGTTCCCGAAGTCTGTCTCTTATTGAGCTTGCAGTTGCGTCCCTTTACATACAAAGGGATATAACTCTGGGCGTGATATGGCGTAACCTCAGCATTTTGAGATGCAGAGAAAAATTTCTGACATTTTCCGGCCAAGTCTGGAGGAGCCCCACTGCTCAAATAACTTTGATGAGCCTGCTATTGAAACTAAAACTCCTGTTGAATCAAGTAGTGCACCCCCATATCCAGATTTAGCTGCACTGAACGGAGGAGAAACAGCAAAACCTGCGACGAAACAGGCCTTTCTAACAGGAGAATGGTTAAATGCTCATGCATTTGCATTTCCTCAAAGGTAATTTTACATTTGAATAAACGCACGTTTATGTCAGTAGATGATAAATAATAACAGAAATAATGCCATAAGGCATTATCTGCATTGTCATCTCCAATGAAAACAAGAAAAATTGAAAGACAAAGTTTACAAAGCGTTGTT